GAGGGGGAGAAGGAGATGAAGGAGGGGAGGGGGGGGAGTACTGTGGACTTCTGAAGTTCTTTTTTTGTACGCGATGACAGTGACCCTTACTATTGGTGAGTTAGGACAAATGGAAAGGGGGAGGGAGGAGGAGGAGGAGGAGGAGTGAGAGGAGGGGTTGTGAACCTTTGCTAGCTCGTTGGTGTATGCCATTACGGTGACCACTACTGGTGAGTTTGGACATTTGTGGTTGTGTCGCGACACATGAGGTAGTTTGGACATACACCTGGAGGGCGTGGGTAGTAGGAGGAGGAGGAAAGGGGAGGGGGGGTTGTGCGCGTTGGCTTGCTCTCTATTGCACCCAACCACAGAGACTATTACTGTAAGTGAGTATGGACATTGGGAGGAATGAGGGAGGAGGAGGGTAGGGGGAGGAGTTTTAGGGTAGGGGGAGGAGTTTTACAGGCAGTGCCTTGCTCTCTGTTTTACGTCATTATTGTGACCACAGCCAGGGGTGAACCTTGACATGATTGTATTGGTGTGTGGGTGGGTTTGTTGGTTGTTGTTTTTTTTTTGGGGGGGGAGGGGCTCTGTACCTTTCCCTGCTCTTTATTATACAGCATTGCAGTGACCATCACTGTTATACGTGAGATGGAGATTGAGAGGCGAGCGGGAGGAAGGAAGGAAAGGGGGAGAGGGCGAAACAAGAAGGGTGGAGTAGTGCAGGTGTCTTTTTGATTATGATGGGCAAGATGTGTGTGTGCGTGTATCTGTGTTTCTGTGTGTGTGTGTGTGTGTGTGTGTGTGTGTGTGTGTGTGTGTGTGTGTGTGATGTTGTACATATATATGCGAAAGTGTTTCTGAACCTGTAATGAGTGTGCGTTATTGTGTGTATGTATGTATCTGTGTGTGTGTGTGTGTGTGTGTGTGTGTATCTGTGTGTCAGTGTGTATGTGTCTGTGTCTGTATGTGAGTGAGTGTGTGTGTGTATGTGTCTGTGTGTGTGTGTGTGTGTATCTGTGTGTCAATGTGTATGTGTCTGTGTCTGTATGTGAGTGAGTGTATGTGTGTATGTGTCTGTGTCTGTATGTGAGTGAGTGTGTGTATGTGTCTGTGTCTGTATGTGAGTGAATGTGTGTGTTTGTGTGTGTGTGTGTGTGTGTGTGTGTGTGTGCGCGCGCGTGCGTGCGCACCGTGTCATACCCTTTGAGACAACTCTCCTTGTCTTTTAAAGAAACTGAACAAGGGGCAAAAACTTTACCTTCGATTTTCTCAAAACAGCATTTTTGGGGATAGCCCTCTTGTCCTTAAACTCAATCATTTGTGTCACAACATGGTGGAATCAGGTGCTCGTCAATGTTTGGGCATATCAAATTATCAAAGTATCGTCTTAAAAGTTAAAGCTTGTTCATTTGCCTTGCTTTTGGTGAAATATAAATCCGTGTATCTTAAATAGAAGTTGATATTCTTTCGATTGAAGGAGTTGAGGGTCACCTTGTTTCATTGGTATAATTCGAGAGAAAATTACACCAAAGTTTGCTCCTTTCCATAGCTTGAGAGTCCTTGAAAATTGAAAATTTACAATTTTTGTGTCTTTAATGTCTTTCAGTAAAATCCACACCGAAATGTGTTGTAAGTGGACATAAAGAGCTTTAAGCCAAAAAAAGAACACTTTAAAAAATTGCCCAACGCCCAGAAAAATGCTAGTTCT